CCATTGAATTCCACTATGGAGAAAAATCCTGCAATGTTTTCCTCAAAAACCAACTTCAACTGAAGAAAGAAATACATTAACATCTTGGTTGACGTGGGGGTGAGTAAATTATCTGGAAATTTTAATTCTGAATATAAGCTATATTAAAATAATGAAAACCTACTGTATAAGAATGTTGTGAATTATTTGTACGCCCGTGTTTCAGCGTTGATAAGGGAAGAGCACATCCAGAACGGAATTACTATAAGTTCGCTTGTGCATTCGCAGTCTTTTGTTTTGTGCAATTGTAAGTTGTAATAATGTTTATTTTGTGCATATATATCTGATTTGTCTAATATAGGACGCATTTGGTTAAGAACTAACGCAGTAGTAAAGTGCACCGGTGATCTTCTTTAGCTTCGGCGCATGTAGCTCAATCGGTAATGCACGACATCAATAACTATGATTGGGAGTGTCATATTACATAACATTATAATGAGAATACAATTGTAATAAAACTTTGTGAGTTCTTTGGGTCACCGTGTTTCAGTGCATTGTTATGGGAAGAGCGGATCCACAACAGGAGTTACACATTCTGATAAACACGCAACTTAAGTTGAACATGTGGATTCGCGTCATTTTATGCAGATTGTTGTAGTGTGTTTTTGTTGTATAATATCTGATTAACCTCATATAGGATGCGTTTTGTTGATTTAATTTACCTGCCAACAAAATGCTTCAGTTCACGGCGTAGCTCAAACAGCAATATTCCTATTTTTAATTTGTAATATTAATTTCAGAGGTTTCTTTTTCAAAAATATTAATGCATTATTAATAACTAGCTCTTCAAAAATATGGTTTAATTAAAATAATTTCATTATTGTCCGTGCGGAGGCTATTCCATTGCATTTATTCATGGCACATGCATTTTGATTCTTTATACGCAAGTAATGTTGTCCAATGAATTGTTTGCATTATTTATGCATTATTTATTTGTAAGGCTTTTTTTTTTTTAAGAAAGTTGGCCAAAGGAGTGTAAAATTAATTTAAAAACTGGTTCAAACTACGGGCTACTGCTGTATGTTTGATTTATGTTGAAGTGCTTGGGACATCGCTTTTAATGGTGAATCTTTTGTTTTTGAAATAAAAAAATTATTTAAAAATTTAGATTTAGATTTATTAGCCAATATATCGTTTATCAGCTTTATCAGCAAATATAAAGAATTATCGGTATTGGCTAAAAATGTTATATCGGAGCATCCATATCAATCATTAAAGGGATACTTCACCTCTAGAAAGATGAATGTGTATTTAAAATGGGTCATTTATGTAGAAGAAATATGAAATTATTTTTGAATTTGGAGCTTTCTAGACTAAGAAAAGCCAGAAAATGTATTTTTGGCTAATGTGGATGAAAGACAACAACTCCCAGAATGCACTTGCTTTGCTGCCCTAGGAGGCCACGCCTACCAGTAACGGAGCGCAGTAGTTAAAGGTGAACTAAGTAACTTTTTTCCCTTAACCGAACAGCTTTGGAGTCATTGTAATGTTTATATTACTGATTTTGTGTTGAATGGTGGTCGTCTCGCACCCCCCGGTGCCTGTGAGCTGCAAAACCACCCTTGCAACTTTGGGCCGGCGAGCCTTTTCAGTTACTAAGGAAAGGTGTGCTTTGACAAGTCAAAGATGAATATTTGATGATAATTTTTTACTTTTCACACCGTTTTAAAAATAAAAACAGTAGTCCACAGTATACAGTAGCTACTCATAACTTAGAATTGTTTTATTGTATTTCATATAATATTAATCGACATTCTTTGTGATCGATTTGCGCTGCGGTAGCATTTTTCGACAAGGCAGCACAAATCGTCAGAACACCGGCCGTGAGTGCGAGCCATCTCTGCGTGAGTGCTATTCACGACAGTACAAGTACTCCACAGCGACTCTAGGGGTCGCTGTTTGACAAAAACGGAATTCCTACTGAGTGCTGCTTTAAACAACAAGTCTAGGCAACTATTGAGTCTCCGTGATGAGTCTGCCCGAAAATGTCTTTCGAGATCGCCCAAAATGTCCGGGATTCAGCTTTTGCGTTCTACAGTCGCCATTCATTAGGTTTACGGTGGCGAGCAGGACGAGGCTAGGGCCGCGGGAGAAATGGCGTGAGGCCAGTGGCGTGATTACCGATGACCGACACCTGTGAGACGCACCGATCTCGTATCTCTCACGGAGGAGCGGGAATTTTCTAAGCAATGTTAAAACGCACATCAACCGATCACCTGTTTAGCGTTCATGTAAACACTACATACATTCAGATTCACCAATCGGAATGAATTCAGTTAGATTAAAACAAAAGGTGTGCATGTAAACAATGAATGGCGACTGCAGAAAGCAAAAGCTGAATCCCGGACATCGATGGCCGGTGTTCTGACGATTTGTGCGGCCTTGTCGAAAAATGCTACCGTAGCGTGAATCGATCACGGAGAATGTCGATTAATATTATATGAAATACAATTATAATACAATTCTAAGTTATGAGTAGCTACTGTATACTGTAGTAGACTACAGTTTTTATTTTTAAAACGGTGTGAAAAGTAAAAATTATCAAATATTCATCTTTGACTTGTCAAAGCACACCTTTCCTTAGTAACTGAAACTTTCAGTTATTCTTGTTCAGCTGGCTGACCGTACAAATATTCATATGGTAGTTATTTTTTAAAGGGAAATTACATTATAGCACATGAGAATTTACCTTTGGTTAAAAAAAAACTGAGTCTGCACATGCGCATAACCAGTAAGTAGCAAATCTCGATGGGTAGCATGAATCGTCAGAACACCGGACATGTCCGGGAAAAAAAAGGGTGGTAACCCCTACTACTCAGCTTTCTCCACAGAACAAGAGCCTGCTAGCTTAGCTTCCAAAAAATATGTCTGACACTATAGCCCCTTTCACACAGCGCGTTGATCCCGGGAAATTGCCAGAACGCCTTCTGTGTGAACGCAAACACGACCCGGGATTGATGCCGGGATCGATGCCGGGTTGGGGACCTAGTAACATTGCCGGGATCAGTCCCGGAACGCGCGCTGTGTGAACAAAAGCCGTAACCAATGCCGTGTCGTAATGATGACGCTGAAGTGAAGTGAAAGCAGGCTAGTGAAACGGTACGTAATGCGCTAGTTTATGATCGAATCAGAGAAAAAAATGCACAAACGTGGTTTCTCCAGAGAGAAATCGCAGCTCATAAGCAAACTATACACGCTGCTGAGACATTACATGTCACATCGATGTCACGTGTCTTTACGGGATTTTTACGGGTTGTGTGTGAACGCACTCTCTGATTCCAGAAAAACACTGGCAGTGTGAATGAACCTAAATCAAACGAACCCGGGTCAAATCCCAGGTCGCTTTATCCGTGTATTTTCCGGAATCTCTGTGTGAAAGGGGCTTATGTGTACAATACATTCTGTGAGTGAGATCCCACCCTCTATGGGCAGGTTGAAAACATGCGGGACAGCCCCTACTACTGACTGTAGTCTTTAGCCTCTGGACTAAAAATCCTCCGATGACGCAAAATGACGATTTCTGCGTCATCGGAGGATTTTTTCCAGACAAAAAATACATAAATCTCTCGTTTCAGGGGGATATGAGGGTGGAAAGCACGGTAATTCGAAAATACTACAGGTTTTCTACTAATACAAAGCTTAATGCTAAATCCTGAAGTATCCCTTTAATAACCAAAAAAAAAGGTTCATTAAATTAATACATCAATACTATCAGTTTCCAGTAAAAAAAAAAAAAAAAAAAAAAAAAAAAAAAAAAAAAAATTGAAACCAAGCAGCGGTCATAATTCCAAAACGTTGAGATCCACTTATTTATATTGGTCTAAAAGCAAAACGTGCATATAAGTATCATTTACAAATACACAAGAGGATTTTCACAGATGACTTTTAATCAATGACACGTTCAGTGCTTGTCATTGGAGGATCGACATCTTCCGTTCAAACATTGTTTTACTGTTTAAAATGATAGACAAGAGAAGCCACTTGATTAGATATGAGCTTAGGGCAAAATCAGAGCAAAGTATGATAGTGGTGACTGGTCTAAGGATGATGGACTTTTGGAACTCCACGTACGATAAGCTCATGGTCAAAAGTCAGATCTACCAATAAGGCAAAAAGACTACAGTCAATGTGAGGATCACTCCACCTCCTGTGCTAAAAAGGCAAAGGCATTATCCATTGGTTAACTCCAGATCCCACCCACACTGGTGGTCGTCACTCCTCACCATCACCTTCATCCCTTTGTCACGGAGTACATGTCAGTTAAGAACCAAAGCCATGAACTAATTTATTACCTTGTGCTTCTATGAGCTTCTGCATCTTTAAAGTCACCATAAAATTAGAATATACCACTTTTGTTTTTGATGGAAAATTACAGTATTTTGTTATACATGATTTAACTGTGCACAACATTATTTTTGTAATTTCGTGTGCCCTCAATTTATTATCAAAATAACTTCCCCTCCCTCTTGCAGTGACATCTCTTCTCTGCTCTCTGATGACGTGTTTAATGGCGTGAGGGAGGGACAACCTGTCACTCATATACGTTGAAATAATGCAAACTAAGGGCTTCAACAAAACATGTTCCAATCGATTAACAAGCTCGTGTTTGTCGGTCTTAACATGTGCATACGTTATTGTTTAAAAAAAAAAAAAAAAAAAAAAAAACTTTTATTTAACTGTGGCAACAAGAGTCTCAGGCTCAGCCAACGACCCGGAAACGTCAACGGTGGGTAAGATCAGTGGACGAAAAAAAAAAAAAGTAAGTAGAAAACGTTAATAAAAGAAAAAAAAAATTAAGCTCCAGCCCTCATCTTGATAGACAAAATAATGTGTATAACTTGCTTCACAATGAATCATCAAATGCCCTATGCCCATCATGTTACCATCATGACACACAGTAATCGATGGCTGATTGTTGGAGCGGCTTGCCTGAATAATGTCAGTGCAGTGTGTGTACCAACCTGCCCATTTCCCGAGTTTGGATGCTCTCATCAAATTTCCATTCCCCACAATCCACACACGAATCCCGTTAAGCAGACAGCACAGAGAGCACACCGACACCCAGGCCACAGTGACAACACCGGTCCAAAACAGAGCATCTGTCAGCAGCTCCATGATAACAGAATCAACGTGCCTCGGTGTCTCACACACGTAAGATCACAACTGTTTTCATAGATTATGCACAAATACAAATAGCCGAGATGCTACACGTTGTCGGCTCGGTAGTGTGCAGGATTTATTCAAGCACATCCGCTTCCGTGTTGATTACGCGTTGTTACGTTAATCTGCAGACTGCATTCTGATTGGATAGAAGATCTGTGCGTCACCGTACACTACCCCATGCCAAGGTGTGAATAACACATTGTTTAAAAAATATGGACCGTCTCTGAGATGACTTAAAATAATTGAAATTGTTTTATCAGAATCATACGTTATCGCGACAACAATTAAATACATTGAAATATGTAGGGTAACATTGGGGAAGATGGCCCCCTTAATAACAATTTGCATTTACTTTAAATCTGTGAAATATTTAGGTATAAGTTAGCATGTGCAGGATGATGATGATGATGTGTTATTATAGGAAATAAATAAAAACATTTGCTAGTTTAGTTGTTATAGAACAAAATGTAAAATTATTCCAAGAGAGAGAGGCCATTGCCCCACTACTGGGGTAAGAAGCCCCACATGTCTAAACTTTTACAAAATGCATAAATGACTTTTGATATAATTCTTATTAATATCTATATATTTTTTAAAGTGTCATTCGTGTAAAATCAACTACTCTATTAAAAATTTAATTTTGAAAATTTAGTTGAATCACAGACAAAGCAGAATCCCATAAAGGGACTTTTCTAAAGGTATAAGTTGACTTAGCCTATATATGCATATGAATATTTACATATTTAATTGCCCATATTTTAATTGAAGATATGTCATAATAGGCTAGCATTACTATGAATCCAAACTGAATGATTTCACTCAACTAACCTTTTAATGAACAGACACAAATATAACAACGCAGGCCTTACAAAGGTTTTTAAGTTGAAATACTGTTTCGTATTTAATTAACTATTTAATCAATACTTTTTATTATATTTTACTATGCAAAACATAATGTGGGGGTAAAAATCAAAATAGCTGATATGTTTTTCAGGTGAAATTTAACACAAATTACTTATGACATATTTCATGCAAATATTAGAAACATCTTCTAAGCAAGATATCATGAGTGCTCTATTATTCGCTCTTATTTTTAATATGCTTATTTTGCTTATAAATTTAACATATATGCTTTATCGATTATACATACCTGTACTACAATTGCTTGAGCTGTCTGTTTCTCCCTTGTTCTTGTCTTGGTTTTTATTTTCTCGGCCACACTAAAATAAACAATATGTAGCTTACATTTTTCTTTTCAAAATGCATCTTGATTTTCACGTTACTGCCAGATTTGTTTTTGAGGTAGTTATTACTCGTCGTTCAAATGTATCAAATAAAGTGCAAACAACAAAAGACAATGCTAATCAAGAAAATTGTAAGTGGGCAGGTTAAGTCACTGGACAACCTGAGTTATAACAAAAGACATGGATAAAAGTTTGACTCTTTATACATAAAAAGAAAGATAATAGAAAATTTATATCAGATCCTTGAAAGTGGATACACACACCTAAAACACACATTTAAATCGGAACACACTATAGTCTATATTTCAGTAAAAACAACTATTACTACAGACTAAGTTTAACCCAAGCACATTTTTTTTAAAATAAAAGAAAACATTGATTGCTTTATTTTTGAACCACTGTAATTATTTTAGGGCATAAGCATGGATTTTCAGCAATTTTGTCCTCAGTGTTTGGGTACAAAATACGCACACAGACTGTGCAGATGGTTTCTACAATGCTTTTGGGAAACGCTGGCTAAATCAGTGTGAAGTTTAAATATATTGATGATCCGTAATCAGCATTTACACAATGGGACAAAATGTTTCCCATGTGTCTGATGTTTGATACTGTGTAGGACACCTTGTTTAACATTTGATATAAATGCCCGCTTTATGTGGTTTGAGCCTTAATTTGTAATATGCCACAGTTAAAATTGTGTCATATAAATGCTATTAATAAAAAATGTTTGGTTTGTACTGGCAAACTTGACTCCATATATTGCATGCCAGGAAAGAAAGGACACTTTTATTACCACATTTAGTCTGTTAAAATTGGTCCATGACTTTTAAAAACCTTAATTTAAACATACATACAATAAAATGATGAGTAAAAATATTAGATTCACAGCATTACACACAAAATGGAGAGTAATGACAACCAAAATGTTTTTAATATGTAAAGATGTGATCAAGTAGTCTCAATGTGTGTGTGTGTGTGTGTGTGTGTGTGTGTGTGTGTGTGTGTGTGTGTGTGTGTGTGTGTGTGTGTGTGTGTGTGTGTGTGTGTGTGTGTGTGTGTGTGTGTGTGTGTGTGTGTGTGTGTGTGTGTGTGTGTGTGTGTGTGTGTGTGTGTGTGTGTGTGTGTGTGTGTGTGTGTGTGTGTTTGTAAATAATTTACGAGGACACAAATTTGTATAATGACATGGGTATTACACTGGTGTTACAACATAAATGTGGTTAAATGTAAAAATGCAGAAAGTTTTCTGTGATGGGTTTAAGGGGTTATTGTTGGAAGAGAGAATATACAGTTTGTACAGCATAAAAATCATTATGTCTATGGAAAGTCCCCCATTTTTAGATTTAGATTTCAGTGCCTTCCGGAAAGAAGGTAAGCTGTCATTTTGAAAACCCCAAGTCTCATCATTATCAAGTTACAACCATTCAAAGAACAGTATTATGCAGTAGCTCTGAACTTATAATTTAAAATGTCAAAATCTGTAAAATGACAGACAGAAACGACTGGTGCGTACTGATGCAGAGTTCTCTCTGCAAACTGCAACCACATTGTTTCATTGTGCAAATTAAATAAATAAAGAATTACAGTATATTGCAATATTCTTCTATGCTTATCATTGTCCAGTCTGTATAGGTCAGGAATTGGAGATTTACTGAGGAGTTTCTTGAACAACCAACATATTTCAAGCATACAGTGAACAATAAAATCTGTCTAATGTAAGATCTATATAAACCCATTTCACATATATAAAGAAATCTTTAAGGAGATCTCTAAAGTGTCACATGAGAGAAAAATGCAGCCGGTTCTCTGCACATCTAAGCCGTGAGTATTACTGTTGGCAGGTGCACTCCTTACTCAGTATTCCGAATTGTGTTTATCCTGAAAAATGCTTCATTTTAAATCACTTGAATTGTTTTAATGTAAGTTTGCAATAGCATGATGAGTAATATTGAACCTGTCACAATGTCAAGAGCACAGAAAAGGCAGAGAATACAGTACATGGTTTGTATAAAACTTACAGGAAAAAAAGGAAGCCCTTTATTTAATTATTTAATTAAAATTAGTGCTGTCAAATCGATTAATTTCAATTAATTGCATATAGCATAAAAGTTTGTAAATATATAATGTGTGTGTATGTGTGTGCTTGCGTGCCTGTGCGTGTGTGTGTGTGTGAGAGAGAGAGAGTGAATACATCACACACAGACACACACACACACACACACACACACACACACATATATATATACATATACATAAACATACATATATTCAAACTTTTATGTTAGATGTGATTAGTTGCGATTAATCAATTTGACAACTAAAAAATATAAAATATTTCCATCATATTTTGCTGGTTTAATTGACCTTGTACTGTCATTAAAAAAGCTGTACATCACTTTTGACCACTACTGTATATCAAGCATGTCCATTAAAATGTCAACCAAAAAAAAATGTGTACCAATCATTTTATTTTGAGAATTCATATATTTTTTTAAATAAATCCAGCATAATCTGAATCTCACTTTAAGACAAATATAGTGAGGTAAAATCACATTGTGTTTTGTTAAGCAATACAAGAAAACTAGAAAACAAAAGCAAATCTGTCTTCTTTGTATTTAGAAAAAATGTAAAAAGCATCTCTTGTTTGAACAACAAGGATGTTAAGGATGCGTCTTTTTAATTAACCAAAAAAAGAGTATTGTAATGAGAGTATTGTTGAGTTTAGAAAGAAAAATGTAATTAGTGTTGTTCTTCAAAATCATCATACAATGATGTAGACTGACAACACATGTTATTTTGCAGAAGTCAGGAATCAATGCTCAATACCCTGAATCATCAGTAACACCCACACCACAACACAACCTGTTTTAAGTAATGAAACGGCAAGTTTAAACAATGTGTTAAGCCATAGAAAATGTCCGAGGCTGTCTGTGCCTATAGGAGATGAGTGATTTTTTGTTTTTTTAATAAAAGAAAAAAAACAATGTTATGCATTGTTAAAATATTATACATTATATATATATATATATATATATATATAAAGATTATATATTGCTTTGCTTCTTGCATGATTAATAATTTACTTTGCAGATTTTATAATTAGATTTTTACTGGGCTGGATATCACAACATGAGATTTGTCTTTGAACCTTATGCGTGGTGTGTTTACCAAAACAAACTAACCAGTTTGACCGTCTAGATACTTTACCATACTGCTAAAATTAATTTGAATGAAAACCTTGCTTGTAGTTGTAAACATTTGTTTTGTCATTGATGAATTAATACAAAATAACAATCCACTGTTTGTATATGCGATTTAGAGTAGTATGAGCGCGTCAGCTCCTAAATAGAGTCAGAGGACGGGAGTCAACCTCATGCCATATTTTTTGTTAAAAAGCATAAAAAGGAACAATTCCAAAAGCGTACAGATTTGTAATTCTGAACATTTAAACTAAATATGCAATCAGTGCCTGTTTACAATCTACAGCATTGTAAGAAGAAGACAAAGAAAAAAACAATCCATAAGTGTTGTATCCAGTAGCTATTAAATCAATGACATGATAACAAGCATTTGAGAAAACACACGTCATTATTCACGTGCCTGGCATCTGTTATTTAGGCATGGGCTCTCCTGATCTGTTGACTCGGATTCCCATCCTCTCTCTCTCTCTCTCTCTCTCTCTCTCTCTCTCTCTCTCTCTCTCTCTATGTGTGTGTCTGCTTCTCTCTGTTTAAGCTCAGACCCAGGGCTGGAATAACCTGCACACAAATTAACATGCATTGTTGTTATACATAGTTTTACTTACTTTACTGGACAAAGTGGATTGCTTTAATGGGTTGTGTCTGCTTGATTAGAGGACGAGACTGGAA